GTTATAGTACTTGAATATTAATGCAAGAGTTGTAGATTTTCCCATCTTGTTGCTCAATTTGGTTCTATATGTTGTTCTTCGACAGAAATTAAAAGAATAAATGTAACCACTCAATTTTGATCTACCCTATCTAAAAGTAAGAACAAATTTGTAATTGATGTGACCCTCGTGTAGTTGAAATTTCTTTCCACAGAATGCTTAACATGTGCATAAATTTTTGTGGTGATAATATTTCAATCTAGTTTAACATAATACCGAATTAAAAGGGTAGAGTTCAAGATTTCAAATTTTTTTATTGTGCTACGTGTACATATTTGTTAACACTAAGTTTGACATTATTGTGAGGTGACAGAGTTTTACCCATTGATTTTAACAATATTTTAAACAATTAATAGCATAGATTTTGCCAATACATGAAGTGTCATACTTAATGTACACAAGTGTGTACAACTACTTTAGTCCAAAAATTAAATCCCTAACAACTCATTTCAGTGATGATTTACTGTGATTTATAAAGGATACTAGGGACCATTCAAATCTTATAAAGGCCTTCACATAGTGTTTCATTTTATTTTATTTTTATGACGGGAGAATCTGCAGCTGTTACCTTTCGAGTGCGCACTGGGTAAACCCCTCAGATTGATGCAATAACTTGCAAGTCACGCTAGCTAGATAAATCGTACTAGATAAGCCCAGTACGATATGCTCGACTGAGAAACTGTCGGTAGGGGCAATAAAACTCGTAACCGAAGGCCTCTGCGTTCATCTACTCTACCAACTCGATCACCCCATGACTTACTACAGCTTTTGGTGGTCTGTCCATCAACAATTATTCCCTTTTGGAAATTGAGTTGGCGAAGTTCTCAAAATATAAGAAAATTAAACGATATTAAATTATCATTTGAAATTCATTTTTATATATGCATGCTTTTCTTCCATTAACAACTTGTACGCAAGTTGTAGTTGTCGTTTTCGTGTTTATGTCGTGTTTTGAATACATTTAAGAAAAAGGACATGCCTTTTCCTTATCATCAATTCAAACCTCATCCTTATGCCGTTGATGTTATTCCCGAATTATGGAGAAATACATTATACTTCAGGAAACAAACAAACAAATAATTTAATTTTCTTCATTGATATATCAAATTACGACAGTTTGTGCCAATCGAGTCACTATAAATTTGTCTCAAATTCATCGCTTCATCCAATTCTATCACAACCACAACATGAATGTGATTGTGATGCCAACACAACACTTTAAATTTGTAGTAGCGACTGCATATGCTGCTTTAATCTGATACATTCTCCAAATTGGTTTCTAAACCCAACTTCGTGACATAAAATCTACGTAATTAAAGTACATTTTTATACTCCTTGAGCCTGAAAAATATTTGAAATATTATTATAGTTTATCCGCAAGTTTGAAGTGAAATATAATGATTCAATTGACACAAATTGAAGTATGTAGTGACCCAGTTTTGAAATTGCGTAATGATTCAATTAAAGTACAATGATTTGAGTGACAGTACAATGATCACGGGTCTTTAAATTATATATAGTGTAATGAAAGAATGTCATCTATCAAAGGTGAGCATTTTAGTTGGAACCGAATTTCTTGAATCGAAATCAAGAATCAAAAATCGAAAATCGGGTTCAGGTCGGTTCTTGATTCTTGAACGAAATCGTAGGAACCCTACTTTAGAGTCAAATTTGCTATTTTTCATAAGTTTTTATTTTTTAAAGTCATTTACCCTAACCTAATATCCCCGACCAAACAAGTAGAATTTTACAAGGCTTGTCTAGTGTTGCTAAAGTAGCAAGTACCCTAATCAATTAGATTCATTTATTTGAATAATTAAATCATATCACCTTAGTTCATATTCACTTTTGACCACACTTTATGCTGCCATTCTCACAAACCTTTTCTGAGGCACCGCACACAGAGCCACAACTAGAATTGAATGATATTACGCTAGATATTATATGCTATTTGGTGATGAAAGGAAAAACGTGTTTCACATATTACAACTAAGTTGGGGTAATTTTGGGAAAACTGCTTAGCTGTTGAGTTGGAATGGATGGTCCAAGTGGCAACCTCCAACTAACCACTTATGCAACCGGATTTTGCTCTTCAATTGTCTTGTGGGCCGTTTTGTTGAATCCAACTGTTGTGATCATATGCTGAGTTAATATGGCTTCTGAGTTAAGAGAGAACAACTTTCAAATGAAGAAAGGAAAGTGTTGTGCATGTGGCTCATATAGAGTGGAACACATGTGCTGAATCAAATGGGTTGATGTTGGTGCGGAGCGGAGCACATCGAACGGAACGGAGCGGAGCGACGGCATCGGCCTTGCGCGGGTTTAATTCACTGTCTGGTTATTAGGGACGCTGTTGCCCTTGCGGTACGGTATAAGGGTATTTTTTGTACGGGCCTTAAAGTCATATATGGACCCAGGTTAGGGTTAGTATAAATAATATGTTGTAACCCTATTTTTCACTACTGAATAAAGAAATCTTCGCTTCGCTGTCGTGGAAGTAGGCACACAGCCAAATCACGTAAATTCTTGTGTTGATTATCTTTTTCATCTCTTTAATATTGCACATAAAATCCAACAGAAAGGAAGGGAGATCTAATCAAAATATAAAAGCAATAGTAAAGCATTATTACTGTGGTAAGTTGGGACATTTTAAAAGATATTGCTTTGAATGAAAAAAGAAACACAGAGAACTAAACAATCCAGAATTGAACAATGCTACTATTGGCCTAGAATTAGATAGTCTGCATGTCGTAACTATGTCAAATGATGAAGTAAATAAGGATTGGGTTCTAGATTCAGGTCTTACCTTCTATATGTTCCTGTTAGGTCTTAGTTTTATAACTATAAGGAAGTTGAACCTAGAGAGGTGTATGTGGGAGGTAATAACTCACAAACTGTTGTAGATATTAGTGATGTTGATATCAAAATGCATGATGGCATTATCAGACCAATAAGGAATATCAGATATGTCCCTAATCTCAGAGGAATTCTTGAAGATGAGGAACATACCTTTAAATCTAACAATAACACATTGATGATTGTGATGGGATCCTTAGCGGGCATGAAAGGTCTTAAGAGAAATGGACTGTACCTTCTTGTAGGTGATATTATTATTTCACAAGATTCCAGCATGTTTATTGTAACTGAAAATAAATCTTGTCTTTTGCACAGTAGAATAGGGCATATTGGGAATAAAGGTCTAAAATCTTAAAGTAATCAAAAACTACTTGGAAAAGATTTAGTTGAACTATTAAATTTATGCAAGACCTATATGTTGAGCAAATCTCAAAGAGTGAGTTTTGAGACAGGACCACATGGTACATAAGGCCTTTAAACTATGTACATGCTGACTTTTGAGGCCTAAGAAATATCGCACCTTTGGTGGGAATAAGTACTTTTGGTCCCTGGTGGATGATTATTCTAGACAAGCGTGGGTTTATCCTTTAAAGGTTAAATTTGACACCTTCAACAATTTAGGACTTAGCAAAGAATCATAAAACATTGAACTATGAATTACACACCCTAGTAGAATGTGGTTGTTGAAAGAATGAACACGTTCTCGATGAATAAGGTCATATGCATGCTAATCAGTTCAAGCCTTGCTAAAGGGTTCTTGGCTGAGGCTTTGTGCACTTCAGCATACTTAATCAATAGATCTCCATCCATTTTTGTTGAGTCTCAAACCACACAAGAACTATGGATTAGAAAGCCACAAAACCTAACACATATTGGAGTATTGGGGCGTGCGACTTATGCACGTTAGATTGAGGGCATTTGGAACCTAGAGCTACTAAATGTCAAATGTTAGACCATCCTGAAGAGTTAAAGTTACATGTTGTGGGTTTTGGGTGTACAGTGTAACAATTGAATTTCTTTTATTATATTTTCATATGGGCTAAATTTAATATTGGTCATTTAGAAATGAAATATTCAATGTCCAGTTTTGTCGTCACACTAAAATCCAAAAGTTGAAGTGATAAATTCGACCCACTTTTTGCAGAAATGATTTATTTGCTCACGTGTATTTTTTTAAATTTAACGTAAGTTAATTGGGTAGACTAATTAAGTATTTTAGAAGTTGATAAAAACCGATCGATATTATAGTCATTTTGTAGCTTGTGTTAAATAATAAAATTTGGGCTCAAGAAAAATTAATTTTTAGT